CTCTATTTGGTCACTAACACAGACTAATGTAAAATGTATGGTAAATACAAAGATAAATTTAACTACTTAATAAACAACAGGATAGATTTAAAAAAAAAAAGAGACCTTCTGCCCAGAATTCCTCAGTAACTAAAACATCAGTTTTCCTTAACTGATTATACTAAAAGCTGCAAACATCAATTTGATAATGCTTAAATATGTACCAGCTGCTTCATTCCACCTCATCAATGTATGGCTTTGTCCACTACAGCCATTTTGAGATGAGATTCTCATATATATACATATATATGTATATGTATATGTATATGTATATGTATGTATGTGTATGTATATGGATGTATATGTAAAGTATTGCTGGCTTTTAAGAGTTTCTTTCATATATATCTGATCAAAAAAATTAGTCAAGGTAATAGGTCTTGGTTTTGAAACTGGTTTGTTGTGACATTGTGTCCAACCACAGTTTATTAAGACTGTTATGAATTATAGATTTATGTTTAATACTAATAAAACAATTATTAATAATTTACTAGATATCAAATTGACTTGTAAGTTCTGTTGTAAACTAAAATTGTTAAATTGCAACATGGTTCCTATTAAAATATAAATTAACTTTTAAATAATGAAGGCTTCTGCTCCAGGGTGTAATTTATCTTTATGTTTAGACATGTTTTATATAGAATGACATTTTCCAAGTCTGTATAAAACATCTCTAAACCTTTAAAGGAGACTTGATTATTTAAAACCTACTTCAAGGCTTACAAGGGCATCTCAAAGTTTATACAATATATTTAAGATAATTGTTCATCTCTCTTTATATATGAGGTAAAATATTAATTGCTTGGTAAATTTATTTATAGATTTGTTTATAACTTATTGAAATTATTAAATTTTAATAATTTGAAAGACTTGATTATGCTGGAGGTTATAAACATCAATTCAATAATGTTTAACTATGTACCAATTGCTTTTTTCCACCTAAAGCAAGGTTTTGGTAGACCACTTTCTAAACTACATAAAGTAAAAGATTTACCTGAAAACTTATAAAAACATGGGTAATAGTAACTTATTACATTACCTTATGTATATAATCTAGATTCCATGTTCTTTAATAACATGATGCTACACACTACTTTCTTCTGAGTCAAACAACTACCATCTTCATGACTTCAGCTGTGTCCACTAACAAACGATCATCACAATTGGACTTGTGGACTTAAGTATCTAATTAAAGGAGGAGGGGTAAACAGGGTCATTGGACCCTCACCTGAGTATCCAGCTGCTCTTCCCAACCAACTGTATGTAATTTGGCCCTAATCATACATGGTCTCCTGGGTTTGGGGAGGACTAAAGTATATTATCTGGGGAAGGCTAGGAAGAGAAGGCTTGGTCCATGCTGGGTTAAGGCTTTCCAATGTAAATACTCTCAGGTCACTCATATATCTCAACAACCCCTCAGTCATCTCTGTAACTAAGCTCAATATATTCACTGGTTCCTTAGAAAAACTTTAATGTAATCAAACATTGGTTTGAAACCACAACCTAAAAAGAGGAAAAATATTGCTTAATATCCCCAGAAAAGAATTCTTACAACAGATGGAAATTTTGTTAATGTTATTATGTCTCATGGTTATTAAAAAAGAGAATGGTAAGGTAAAAGATGTTAGAAGGTGTGCTGGATAGCTTTAGTGTCAACTTGACACACCTGGGTTGAGGGAGCCTCAATTGGAGAATTTCCTCTATTGGACTGGCCTATGGCCATGTCTGAGGGGCATCTTCTTGATGAGTGATGTGGGAGGGCCCAGCCCACTGTGGGTTGTGCTCCAGCTCCTGCTTCCAGGTTCCTGCCCTGAGTTCCTACCTTGGACTCCTGATGAACTGCGACATGGGAGATGTAAACTGAATAAACCCTTTCCTCCCCAAGTTGGTATTGGTCAGAGTGTTTTGTCACAGCAATGAAGAACAAACTAGAACAGAAGGATACAGGAATGGAGGTATTTTGTTAAAAATGAAAAAGCCTAAGCATATGATGGAGGTCTATGTAGGTTTGTTATGATTTATCAAGCATGAAAAAAGATTTTAAAATTCCTAAGGTCATAGCTTCGTCAACTAGTTTTAAGAATGTCTCACCAAGGTTTAATAAAAAATGTTTGGGTTTTGCCCAAGCTCTATCTACATAACACATGGTAATTAAGAGTACCAGATTGGCCGGGTATGGTGGCGCATGCCTTTAATCCCAGCACTTGGGAGGCAGAGGCAGGCGGATCTCTGAGTTCAAGGCCAGCCTGGTCTACATAGTGAGTTCCAGGACAGCTGGGGCTACAGGGAGACCCTGTTTCAAAAAGAAAGAAGAAGAAAAAAAAAAAGTACCAGATTGGTGTAACTAACCTTCTTGGATGTTTAATAACTAGACTTTGAGGCCTATACTAATCTGGTCAGAGGACTTAAAGGGACAATTTTTTGTTCCTTGCCCTCCAAGGCCAAACAAGTTCCAGGGGCTATGGAGCATCTCTTGAAATGTCCTGTAACTTTGGTGAGTTACCTGTCCTCTTGTTCAGGGAGGCCATGGAGACCCCAGAAGATGGACTTGAACCAGTGTCCAGTCTGCAAAGAGGAGGGTCAACACAGAGGAAACATTTCCTCCATGCTTCCAAGCGAAGCCCAGGTCAAGCAGGACCTCTTGACTTATCTTCACGTAGATGGAACTGATAAAAGCCTGAGGAGCCAGGGGCTCCCCCGAAGCCCATATGACCCCTGAGGAACAGATCCTCATACGACCTTAAAAATAATAAAAAATTGGTTTATTTGGGCCAACTGTATGGTCTTAAACACCCAAAAGGAAAGTATAACCAAAGATTAAAGTCATCAGTATATTTCTTTAAGAATTCAAGGGATTACACATCCCAGACATTAGACTTAAGTTCTTATGTTATTTAGTCAATTATTTCACATTGGTGATTTTGTTCCTAATAGGATAGTACTACTTAGGTGTAGGACTTTAAATCTCGGTCTCCAATACTGTAGTGCCCACCTGCAGCTGAGGGAAACCACTCACTATTCTAAAATGATGGCTAAATTTGTTTTCTCTCCCTATCTAGAGGCCACTTAAGAGGGAGGTGATTCTAGCCACTCCAACAGTTATCAAAGCGCCTGACAACAAATCCTGAGTTCATCAATCATCAGTCCACCCTAACAGACAAAAGAAAAATGAGGAGAAACCTGTTAGATGGATGCTTCTGGGAGCCCCCATCAAGAAATTCCAATGGACTTTAATTTGGACATTTTCTGATTCCCTGCCTAGAAATTGTAATACTAACTACTCTTGCCTTTACTTTTCCTTCACATCTCCCAGAACCAGTCAAGCACCTTCCTTTTCTTCTTATAGTTAAGAGTTATGCAATTTGGGAATCTTTTAGATAGACCCACTGAAGGAGGTACCCCAATTGCCTCACCCTGCGTCCCTGTTCAGCATAAGAAGCCAGAGCAGTCTTCATGCCAATTCCCTATTGGCAATTCGGGTAAGCCTCTTCAAAGGGTGGTATGGTAAGAATAGGAGATAGAAATTGGCTAGGCAGGTAGGGTAAAGACCCCAAAGAAAAGTAGCCAGTTTCTTTCTTGGTTAAAAATCAAAATGTCCTTGGGCCTTTTAACAAAGTACTCTGTCCCAAAGGCCAAAAACATTAAAAGTATTTGGGAGCTCTTATCCCAAAAAGATTTTGGGGTTACGGCTTCAGAGGGGGGAATGTTACAATATCACTAGCCCCCTGATTATGCTGTGTTATTCTGATGCTTGCTCCCTGTTTCATACAATTTCTTACAAATTGCCACCATTGCTAAAATTACTACAAATCAGGTCATGGTCAATTATCAGACTTTGGATTCTCCCGAGATAGATGAGCTGGCTCTTAAAGCTTGTGATGACACTTCTCCATTATAAAACAAAACAGAGGGAGATGTTGGGGAACCCTGTTGTTAAGGTTGACTCCTTTCTTAGCAGGGGCGTCCTGTTCTCTGCCTTGCTTATCCAGAAAGTGCCTCTAAGCACGGATACTTGACCTTATTTGGAACATTACCTCTGGCATCATTACCTACAATAAAACTGCCCCCAGGTTTTTTTCTGTATGATAATTAGGCATTTCCCTATAGCCAGATGATAGGCTCCCCCAACCATATGTAAATAAAGCATACTATGAGCACCTATCAGCTGAAGCTTTGGCTGCTGCCTCCACTCCATTTTAAATCGGACACAGATTTTTGTGTACTAGTGCAGCAGGTTCCCCATCTATATTATAAAACAGACACAGAAATTACTCCCACCACCCCAAAGGCGCCATCTAACTGCTTCTTTCTGCTTCTGTAATTTGCTTAGCTTAAAGATTTAACCCTTGCCATAACTCTAGGGGGGAATGAAGAGCCGGAATGCACTGACTCCATTTGGCTAGCTTCTTCAGACAAGCCTGGATAAGCTCAGGCATATTGTAAATTTTTCCAATTGCTACCCCACCCCCACCCCAGGAAGCTATAGATTAAGCAAACCCTAAACATGTAAAAACCTTATAAGGTATGAACAAAAACTTCTGTCCCTAAAGATATCAGTCAGCACATTCCAATGTCCTGAAGACAGCCCCTACCAATCAAAACCTCCCCCATACTCAAGATATGGGGCCATCCAATTATTTTAAAAGATGCTTGGCGTGTGCATGGGTTTCTGTGTGTTTCTTTAATAAAAGCCCCTGCCTGCTATTGTTCAGGCTGGACGCCATCTTTGGCTCATGGAGTCCGTGCCCAGCTAGCTGCTAATTTGGTTACTTTATGAATTTCTGAATAAAATTTTTATGCATTTTTCCTTCGTGTCTGTGGGAATTATTCCCAACTCTTGGACCCTAACAGCTGGCTACTCTTGGGCAGACACGGACTAGACCTGTAGGTGATACATAGCCAAACACACTTGCCAAAAGCTCAGCAGTTCATCCCAGGTACCACTGGAGCTATAGCCTACTTACTCCATAATCAGGACCGCCCAGCTCTTTGATCCGGACTTCCCAGTGTCCTTTCTCCCTCAGCAGCTTGTTAATTTCATCATTCAGGTCTCGAATTCGGAATTCCCCTAAACCAGCTAAAAAATGAAAATGTTAATGTCATTTCTTCAAGATGGCATGCTCTTCTTAAAAATGCTTGTCAACACCTTCAACATCATGCCATTTGTTCTGCTTTGTTTTTTTATTTCATTTTTTATTTTATGTGTATGAGTGTTTTGCCTGCACATATGTAAGTACACCCATGTCATACAATGCCCATGGAGGCCAGAAGAGGGCATCAGAGCCACTGGAACTGGAACTATAGACAGGTTGTTAGTGGCCAGGTGGGTGCTGGGAACCAAACCAAGGTTCTCTGAAGAGTAGCCAGTGCTCTTAACTGTTGAGTCATCTCTCCAGCCCTGTGTTCTGTGTTTTTTAGACAGGTCTCCCTGTAGCCTCCCACTGCCCTGGGACTCACTATGTAGACCAGGCTGGCCTCAATCTCAAGAGATCTGCCTGTCTCTGAAGTGTACCACCACCATGTCTAGCTCAATGTCATACATTTAAGACAAATGACAATAACCCCATATGCATATTACAAGAAAATGTTCATTTAAATTTATAAGAAAAATCACCAAATATCACCCAAATAAAGACCAAGACCAGAGATTTCCACTAGTGAAGGATAAAAGAATTCTTTAAAAAAAAAAAACTTTATCCTCAGAAGCAGGCAAGAAAACAGAAATACAAACCCTGTAGTTCTATTTATATCACTATTAAAATGGCAACCACTGTATGCTGGGGGCAAGAGCTAGCCTCCAGTGCAAGTCTGGTCTGCCTAGTATAAGCACCAATGGCTAGCACCATTCTGTGCTGCTTTGGCCCTTTCAGAAAACTAGTATTGCTATGGGAACTTTTTTGGCAAAGACTATGTGCTTGAGAAATAGCCTGAGAGACCCGCTGAAACTAAAGGGTATGCTGAAGTGCAGTCCGCAGTGGCTAAGAACTGGACACAGACAGACATCCAAAGAGATGACAGGAGGGCTGGCGAGTAGACAGATTAAAAGAGACATTTCAGACGAGACCCAGAAAGATCTTTATAAGGCAATGCTGAATGGAATAATGTTGAAAAACAGGCATGTGCATGTGGGAACTCTGTGCAGTGAGAGTCTTGGTCTAGATGTTTGTGGTGGGAGCTTATATAGATATATAAATTAGCCCAAATTCAGCCAACTTTATGCTAAACCTGGTACACTTCATCCTGAATAGGTTCATTTAACAACAAAAAAGATATGGCTGAAGAGATGACTCAGCTATTAAGAGCGCTTGCTGCTCTTACAGGGGACCAGAGTTCAGATCCCAGCACCCACAGAAGGCAGGTCAGAACTGCCTGTAATTAAGCTGCTATACTCATTAGATAGAAGTTTTTTTTTGAGGGGGAGAGGGGAGTTCATTTCTCTTGTATGAGCACCTAGGAGAAGACTTGATCACAGGTCATATGTGTTTTCAATTTCATGAAAAATTACCAAGCTACATTCTAAAGGGGCCCTATCATTTTTCTTCATTTTCAGGACAAGAAAGTCCAAAGAGTCTCCCAAACACATCGGAGGCTAATGCAGGAGGATCTCAAATGTCAATCAAGTCTAGGCAACATAACAAGATTGCCTTAAAGAGAGAGCCAGCCTTGGCACCCTATGTGAATAGGAAAGGCTCTACTGCTTCTGGACACACTCTGTCCCACTGGTCCACGAAGTTATCCTTTCACCAATACACTTTGTTTTAATCTTAAAGATTTTTATTACTATTAATTTGTTTGTTTTTTGAGACAAGATCTCATGATATAGCCCTCGCTGGCCTGGAACTCTCTATGTAGATCAGGCTGGCCTCAAACTCATAGAGATCTGCCTGACACTACCTCCCAAGTGCTGAAATTAAAGGCAAGTGTCTACGTGCCCATGCCCCACTTTATGCGCACGCACATGCATGCGCCTGTGTGTGTGTGTGTTGATTGGATTCCCCTAAAGCTAGAATTACAGGCAGCTAGCTGTGAACCAACTAACATGGGTGCTAGGAATCAAACTTGGGTCCTCTGCAAGAGTAGTACACATTCTTAGCCACCGATCTCATCCTATTTTGGGGCAGGGGCGGGCGGTGTTGTGTTTTTGTTTTTGAGAAAGGGTTTCCCAATAGCCCCAGCTGGCCTGGAACTCACTATGAATACCAGGCTGCCCTAAATCTCAGGGAGATCTGCCTGCCTCTGCCTACCTAGTGTTGGGATTAAAGGCATATACCACCATACCCAGTCTGTTTTTCTTTTTGCTTTTTCTTTTTTTTCTTGTAGTCGCTTTAAATTAAATCTCAAAATCAAAGTGGTATGAATATGCCAATTCTCTTCTTTTTCAAAACCACTTTGGCTTTTTTTTTTTTGAGACAGGGTCTCATGTAACCTTAGGCTGGCCTCAAACCACACATAACTGAGGATGACTTTGAAGTTCTGATCCTTCTGCTTCTATATCCCAAGGATAACCGGCTTGTTCTACCACACCTGGCTTATGTAGTGCAGAAAGAATTGGCGAACTACAGAGCAGTAAGAACCATAATAACAAAATCTGGGTGTGGTGGCCCACACCCATACTCCAAGCACTAGAGAGGCTGAAGAGGGAGGATAGCAGTGAGTTCCAGGACAGCCAGGATGGGACGGAGAGTTGGTTTTGCTATGCTGAGTTCTCCCATCTATAAATACAGCATCTCTTCGTTTTATTAAAGTCTTCTTTAATTTCTTTCATAAATGTTTTATTTTAAAGGTATGAATCCTGAATATATTTGTTAGATTTATATGTAACTAGGCTTTGGAATATATCTCAGTAGCAGAGCATTTGCCTAACATGAACTAGGTTCGATCCTCAATACCACACAAAAAATAATATATATGTATATGTGTAAATATTTCTTCTGTGGTTTCCTGGTGGCTTTGATTTGTATTTATGTGTATGTATGTGTGTTTGCCTCATGCATATTGGTGCCCACGGAGGCAGGAAGAGGGCATTAGATCCCCTGGAGCTAGAGTTACAGGCAGCTGTGAACTACCCAAAATGAGTACTCGGAACCAAATTCTAGTTCTCTGAAAGAGCAGCAAGTGCTCTAACAGTCAACCATATCCCCAGTCCCTGGTTTTGTTAGTTAGTTGGTTTCTGAGCCTGGGCTATATCCCCAAACACAGGTCCTCCCACTTCAGCCTCTCAAGTGCTGGTACTATGAATTTCCAAACCAGAGGCTCTTGAGTTACCTTTTAGACACATGTATACGTGTTAATTTCTAAACATGTAGGAATTTTTCTCTCAAAACAGCCCTCCTGTTGTTATAATCAGAGAATACAATTTATATGACTTCCATTATTTTGAATTGGCTGACATTTGTCTTTCAGTCTAGAATGTGTTCTATTTTGGTGAATGTGTGCTCTTAAAAAAGGAAAACACGGGTTTTTATTAGGTGGAGTATTATTAGATACTGTATTCTATAAGTTATCAACTAGGCCAAACTGACTGACAGAATTTTTTAATTTATTTATATTGTTTTTTTAGCCTCCAACTTGCTGTTGTAGCTGAGGATGACCTTGGGCTTCTGATCCTCTTGCCTGTACTTCGTAAGTGCTGGGATTACAGGCATACACCACCATGCCTGGCCTAGTACTCAAGTCTTCTGTATCCTTGTTGATTTCCTATCTACTGGTTTTATTGATCACTAGGAAAGGAGGGTTGAGAGGGCTGGAGAGATGGTTCAGAGGTTCACAGTACTGGCTGCTCTTGCAGAGTACCTGGGTTCAAGTCCCAGCACCCATTTGGTGATTAACAACCATCCATAACTCCAGTTCCATGGGATCCAATGCCCTTTTTGGACCTCCTCAGGCACTGCATGACATGAGTGTACTTACATATATGCAGGCAATACACTCAGACACATAAAATAAAAAAAAAAAAAGTAAAATAAAGGAGGATTGAGGGCCAGGAGGGGTGGCACATGCCTTTAGTCCCAGCATTTGAGAGGCAAAAGAAGGCAGATCTCTGTAGGATTGAGGCTAGCCTGGTCTACATAGCGAGTTCTGGGCCAGCTGGGGCTACAGAACAACCATGTCTCAAAAAGACCAAAAAAAATAAAAGAA